TAGTATGGCTTTAAAAGCAAGGCTTTTGCTGTTAATAAAAGACAAATGAAAAACCTTCTCTGTATTTCCTTATCAAAAGTGGAAAATAATATGGAATGTAACCCCCTAGAGGGATCCTGATTTTTGTCCTACCTGGCCCACTTTAACTATTTATATTATTTGGTTACTAAAAGCATTTACATTTGTGATCCTAAATTGAGTAAAAAACGTCTTCTTTTAAAAAGAAGGAATTAAGTGACTGTGTAATGTCCTAAGTCTTGGGTGAGTCACTTTTCCTGTTACTATTTCTACTTGCCTATACATGTTTTTTCTAAATGAATTAGCTAATGTGATTCAACTCATGCTCCATATAAGAAACCAGGAACGAGAGGAAGTGTGTCAGCTACAAGGGAAGGAACACAGAAGGAAGTGAGAGGCCTGTAAAGGCTGATCCCTCCTTAGGGCTACGGTTAGTCACAGCTTACTCAGCCTGCCGGTCTTTAAATATTTTGACAGATGAAGCTGAAGGAATGATGCCCCTCTCTAACCAGCTATTCATTAAATTTATGCTTACTTGTCTCCCTTTATTTCTTTTTTAAACATTTTATCTTTTTTTATTAAATCATAACTGTGTACATTGATGCATTTATGGGTTTCAGTGTACTGATTTGTACTGATTTGATATACAAGGTGAAATGCTTACATTGAACTAAATAACCCATACATCACAATTATACTCTTTTCTTAAAAGTTTTGAAATGTACCATTGCATCATGAACATTAGGTGAGGTCCCCCAATACCCTCCTGCTCTTCTCTCCCCTCCCCTCTCCCTCCTCTTCCTTCCTACTTTCTCGGCTATAGTTATGTTTTACCATTCATATGAATGTGTAGGTGATTACATATTGATTTCACAGTAGTACTGAGTACAATGGATACTCTTTTTACCATTCTTGAGATTTTTTTTCTAATATAAGTTTCCCTAATTTACTTAACGAAATCAAATGGTGGACTGAGCAACAAGAATATGTAACATGACATGTGAAAACCTGTGAAATACCTAGAGAGAATGAACTGGAAAAAGAGACAAAGCCAGCAGGACACGGGAGCTGTTTTTGCCCCTTTTCAGGTCTTTTATTTTTCCCTGATGAAATGAGTCTACCTTAGTTGCATACGTCACCTTCCTACACACAATGACAATATTTCTATGACTCATATGCGTGTCTCTTCCACAGGGGAGATGAGAACCAAACAACTTATAACTTAGTAATTTAGCTCAGTTTACTTTCATGCATATTTGTAATGGTTTTTGTGTTTAAAGACAGTAACTTTGTGATTTTAGACTGTGCTCACTTTCCACCCTGCCATCTAAAATATTCCACAGATAAGTGTTCAGTTTTATTCCATGTGTCTTATATAGGGAAATCTTAGCATTTACCAAAGTTCAAATAGACTGCTATGTGAGGAAATACCTATTTCACAGGTTTCTAGAATAAACCAATGAGACCCATGTTGTGTAAGTGCTTCATAAACCACAAAGCACCAAATATATGTGCCCTGATGTGATGATCAGATATGGTCCTAAAACACCAGGAACATAAAATCTTCTGAGATAGCAGGCCATGGAAATCATCTGGAAGGTCACAACTCTCGTGTCCATTTCAAGAGACAAAAGAGACAAAGAGAAAAGGGGAACGGATGATTAAAAATAACTCTGGGCCGGGGGAGGGGGTGTTCTGCAGGGAGAACAGCGCAGTAGGCTTCAGCACACATTCCTCTGTGTTCCCAGAACGTGTGTAAGCTTCTGTTTTGGTGTCTATCGCATTGTTGACTGTATCTGATCATCTGCTTCCCTTCTCTAACCCCCCGAATCCTATACACTAAGCATTCCAGGAAAGGCACTTATTCAGCATAGTTGCGTCTTCAGCACTTAGACTGGTATCTGGTACTACTGCTAGTACCAGTACTACTAGTAGGCTAGTAGTAAGGCACATTAGTGTTACTCAGTAGTGTGAAATGATAATATCCATCCCCACAAGATACCCACACCACAATCCCTGACATCTGAGCACATGTGACATCATATGGTAAAAGGGACTGCATGTTATCATGTTAAGAACCTTAAGATGAGGAAATTATCCTAGATTATCTGGTCATCCCCAAAATAATAACAAGGTCTGTGTAAGAGGGAAGCTAGAGAGAAACGTAACAGAACCAGAGGTTGGAGTGATGTGATTTTAAAACAAAAGAATGGGCCACAAGCTAAGGAATGCTACACTGTGGACAAGACCAAGAAACAATGCTCTTGGAAAGCCTCCAGAAAGAACGCAGCCTTGCCACACTGTGATGTCGGGCTTTTGGCCTTCAGAATTATAAGAAAATAAATTTGTGTTGTGTTAAGCCACTGAGTTTGCCACAATAGCAACAAGAAACCAATATGTAAACTTGAATGAATGAGTGAAGGAATGAGTACCCAAGTGAATGAAGAGAATTCCAGACAGAATGTGGGAAGACCAAGGTTCAGGTCCCGACTTAGACACTAACCAGGTGGGTAACTTGTACACTACCGTAGTCTCCCCAGAATCCTTCAGCCTAAGAGATGAAGCTGTGGAGTCAGAAAGACCTTCTTCGTCATTTCCTGGCTGTGCACCCACAGCCAATGCTCACCTCTCTGGCTCTTGTGCCCCCTCTGCAAGATTCGGACAGACAAAATACCTCTTGCACAAAACTGTTATGGAAACTAAATGAGCTACAGGTCTAGTCACATTTGATAGGGCCCTGAACTAGGCAAATTGGAAATCATGGTCACATAAAAATGTTCTGACTATCACTCACTTAAAACACAAAACTTGCAATCATGCAAATTCCCCAATTAATAAAAGAACCATACCATGGCACAGCTAATATACTTTAAACCGCTGATTACCACTTGGTGGGACTGTCTCAGTTGCACATTGTGACCAAACATCCACCGTCCTTTGAGAGAATCCATGTTGAATTATGCTAGTTATAAACTATATAAGCAACAAATTATGAGAGGTCTTCAGGAACACACCCCTTGAACAAAATATGACCACCTTTAATGCATGCAGAGCAATTAGCAGGGGCCTGGAACACAGAAATCTATTATTCTGCTGTTATTTTATTAGCTCAATGATAAAAGACTCAGAACAAGCACTTCTACTACAATACAAAATGAAACAAACTCCAGCTTTCCCAGGGGCGTAAGCTATACATGGGCCTCTGGCTCTTTTCAGAGAAATCTTAAGTTGGAAAATCTGAATCAGGTGTGCTAATGACACTCTATATTATGAAGCAATAAATTTTCCAGCTCTTACCCAAAACTCAGAATTTAGCTTCAGGGAAGTGTTAGCTCTATGCTCTGGCAGCATTGCCATGTACAACTTGCATACACGACTTTCCTACTATTAATCATGTTTAGAGTAACAGAATTTGTGAGATAAAGGGGGTCTCCCTGGGACTCAGCACTACCCAGCAAACACCTGCCTTTCTCTTTGTTCTCATTTCTTGAATGGCCATAGCACAAGGACTGGCACATGTGTGAAGTCCAATAAATGTTTGTGTAATGTAAAATGACCTTTACAGGTCATGTAGCCCATAGCCCTCTCCCATTCTTTAGATAAGGAGCCTGAGGCCAATTAGAGGAATGACTGAAACATACCTTCCATGTAGCATTAATTCAAGTTAATAACTGTCTTCTTCCTAGTGGGAGGAGAGCTAATTTCTGAAAACTAATAGACTGAGTTAGGGAAAGGAAATAAGTACACAATACATTTTTTAAAGTGTATCTGTTTTTCTAAGTAGCTTCCATTCTCACAAATGAAGTCTGATGATGATGTTAAGTGTCTACACCACAGATTTTGGTTAATAAGTGGTGAAGAGATAGAAAATGATCGGGGAAAAAAAAAAAAAAAAGCACAACTAGAATTTGGATGAAAGAGACCCATGAGCAAATTGGAGAAAGCCCAAGAGTGGTGTTGAATTATTTAGTTTTAAGGAGGCCAGGTGTTACCTGTGAGGGACAACAAATGATTTACTTTTCAGAGTCAAGTGACTCTTTCAGGCTGCACAGAATTGCTTATTGCAGAATTGAGTCCTATTTTCTACTTACATCTCTACTAAAACAGGAATAATAATAATTGAAATAATTCAACAAAATCTGATTAGCCAGCAAAAGCCTAGGGGTGCCCAGTGATCACCTCAAACTTCTATCCATTTTCTTTCCTTTTTCAGCTTTTCATGCACGGTTGTGTGGTGGATATTGCGTCTCTATTTGGGATTTGAAGTGATTTTCAATAGAAGTTGTGAATTTACCTATATAGAGTGTCCGTGCTATTTCTGTTGTATTTTCATCTTCCTGCCATACCAAAGCCTTCTCATCTTGAGCCACGCTCAGATCAGGTGTCCTGCTTCCTAATCTGCCCACTTTGCAGATTAAAGGACCCTGGGACAAGGGCACTGAAGAGAAAGTGATGACTTGCTACTTCACTGTCCACTTACTCTCTTTGGACCTCTTTAGTCTCCCCATTCATTGCCAGACCTAATGAGCACAGCACACAAGCCCAGGTCTCATCCAGCTCCTCTGTGCGCTGTCAGTCTCACTGTAAAACTTTTCTCACCAGGTCATTTTTTGGTTACCTGGAGCTGCCTATTCTCCACTGCCCTGAAGATCCACACCACTGAGCCTATTTCCAGGCTTCCCTTCCCACTGGAATGCCCTTCACCTGTTCTCTACTCCCCAGGCGCACCTCATCCCAGCTCTGGCAAGTACCCCTCAGCTCTTCAGCAGGGCGAGTCTGTCCCCCTCTGGGTTCCCAGGGAATGCTATAGACACTTCTCTTACACAGTCAAAAATCTGCTGTTTCACAGTAAGAGCCGAAGAAATGAATGAGTTAAACAGACATGTCATACCTTTTATCTCTGGATCAGAGAGGAGAAAGCTAGAGATATACTAGAAAAACAAGCCAACTGGTACTCAGCCAAGAGTAAGAAACACGCGTACCTGATGGCCCATTATATTAAGAGTGTCTTCTTTTTTCTGCTCTGGAGTTCCTTGACTCTGCAATAGATTTCGTACTGTTTCTTCCATCCTGAGAGACAAAAATGTGAAGAATTTCTTAGAGAAGGCTTCTGATTAACATGGTTTTGTTCCAGTTAGTAGAAATCATTCCTCAGCGTGTATTTCCAAGCTCAGACTTGGAAATCTCTTTTCTCTCTCTTTCTCCCCTATTAAGAATCTGTCACAAAGTCCTTTAAAATCATTCTTCAGGATGTCTCTGCATTCTCTTTCTCTCTACAGTTCAGGTCCCCATCCTTGGCCTTGGACATCTGTACTCACCCCCACACTTCCCAATAGTCTTGTTCACTTCCAATTGCTCCCTTTTAATTTGATACAATGTCACCACATTAATCTTCCTGAAATACCCCTTTGATATTTTTAATTCAATTTTCAAAGTTAACAAAAATTACATGAATGGATTCTCTCCATTAATATACTGTCATGTCTTTCCGTGTCAGCACACAAAGATTTACTTCATTCTTTTCAGTCACAAGTCACTGAATGATTGGGAGAGGTGATCTTGTCCTTATATGAAGATCATAGAGAGTATTTAACAAACTGAGATGCTCTAGCTTGCTACACACCTGGGCTAGATGGTATGGCCTAGGCTACAAACCTGCAGAGTATGTTGGTGCCCTGAATACTGGAACACAGTGGTAGGGATCTGTGTATCTGAGCATATCTAAATGTAGAAAACATGTGGTCAACATACTGCATATGGTAGATTATGCCTCTATAGGACACTTACCATGACTGGTGCCTATGGAACGGGCAGTTGCTCTAGGTGAATCAGAGAGGAGTGACTGAATATAGTTGTGACTTAGTACACAACTATAGACTTTATACATGCTGTACTCTGAGGCTAAACTAAATTTATAAAACGATTTTCAATAATTATCTTTAGCTTACTAAAGCATTTTTACTGTATAAACTTTTAAATTTGTTCAAAATTTTTTGGCCCTTTTGCTCTAACTCTCAGCTTAAAACATAAATGCTTTGTACAGACGTACAGAATGATTTTCTTTATATCCTTAATCTGTAAGCTTTTTTGTATTTTTAAATTATTTTATTTTTAAAAACTTTTCTTTGTTAAAAACTAAGACACAAGCACAGATATTAGCTTAGGCTTATACATGGTCAAGATCAACACTAGGCAACAGGAATTTTTCAGCTCTACTATAATGCTAGGGACCACAGTCTCGCATTTAGTCCATTGTTGACCAAAACGTCCTGATATGTCATATGACTGTGCTTCTGTGTATGTCATGGTGTGAATGAAACTTAAGTTATTTAGGCATTCCTCTAATGATGGAATTTAAATTACTTCCAAAATTTTGCTGTTTCAAACAATCAAGATCTCTACACATACATCTTTGTACACATCCCTGATTTCTATATATCATAAAATATATTACATATTTGAATCCTATTTTATTTTGAATAGTCACTTCTGATGGCTCCCCATGGCCCAGAAGCAAAGAGTTAAGGATATACTCATTTCCATTTCCAGGCATTTGCTCATGCTGTTGCTATTTCTTGGATTGCCAACTCTTTACCCTTCCCATATTCTATCCATCTTTCCAAATCCATTTCGAGTTTCACTTCCGAGGATACTTCCTCACTGATCTCCCACTTCTTTGAATTCTTACACTCCTCTACTTTGGTAGGGCTATCACACCTGTGGCCTATAGGCCATATTCAGATTGAGGACTATTTTGCTTATCTGCACTGCTGGACATTGCAAAAAGTATACATGGACATTTTTTTGCTCATCAGTTTTTGTTAGTGTTTCTGTACTTAATATGTGACCCAAGACAACTCTTATTCTTCCAAAGTGAGTCAGTAAAAAAAGGTTGGACACCCCTGCAAGTTTTCACTCTATCACTTAAAAACCCTTCACTAAAATGCTCAAACATTTTGTTATATAGAAGTCTTGTTTTCTGGAGTGAATGACGATATATGGTAAAGGACCATGTCATGCATTTCTCATGCAGCTCCCTCAATTATGGATAAAATAGCCACTCAGTAGATACTACTAATGAATCCCTTGTTAATTCACTGTTCAAAGTATACTAAGTGCCAGGACTTCGCCATTTATGTTCATACTGAGTTTGAATGACCCTGTCCTTGAGTCCCACCTCTGAGGATTCAGAATTGTGTAATTCAAAATGCCAACCGTTCTAATATGGCCTATAACTACTTAGCAGCAGAGTGAAAAGAGTGCAGATGAACTAAGACAGTCCAAACTCAGCATATTAACTGGGGAAATTCTGTCTTCACAGAGGATGGCACAAGGACCCATTTAGGCTTTCAAGAAAATGGTGGATATTGGCCATCAGGGCTCAAGGAATGATTTGTGAACATACATTTATAAAAGCCACCTTTTCACATACCCAGCTGGGAGAGAAGCTGTTCCCTATATTTTCACAAATCTCATGTTATTAATAATAATTCTATTAAATAGTACTTTTAACTTGTCCAAGAACTCTCTCAACTATGAATCATTAAAATGCACTTTTAAAATGTCATTATATCTATAGGGTAAATGAGAAAGCTGGGGCACAGATTAGGCAGCTTAACTTAAGGATCGTGGTTAGTTGGATAGCAAGTTCAAATTATACCATTTTTACTGACTCTAAATGCAGCAGCCTCTCTCCACTTGACATTATTGACATTCAAGAAACTTGCTTTAAATAAATAAGAGTTTTAACTCCTAATTAGGAGTTTTCTTTGTAAATAACTTCTAGATGCTGATTCCAAGAAGGCAATAGTTTCTGACCTCAGGAGAGCTTAAGATCTGGCAGAAGAGAAAAATTAAGTTTATGTGGGCAGTAGGGGTATAGGAGGTAGGAAGAGATCACCAATTCTAAATTAAGTGATCAGGGCCAATTTCTAATGTGAAATTTCACTTTATGTAAACAATCTGTTGAGTGGGAGAGGATTTTCCATGTTTGCCAAATCTCTTATAAACAGGAAAAGTAAGGATGGTGGTTCTAAAATGCCCCAAGATTGTTTAGCTTGTTTGTGACAGATCAAGGGGCTACTCTTCCGGTTTTCTAAACATTAGTCTAGTTTCTTCCTGTTTTAGCACAAAAGCTATATGTCTTATTTATTCATTTGTAAACATCTGGCTTAAAAATGTGGAATTAAACTGCTACATTAGTAGTACTAGTTAGAATTCAGTTAAAATAAAATCCTGTTTTCTTTGTTTAGGATGTTAAAAGACAATTCTGTCTTAGTGCATATCTTGCTGAATTATCTCTCCTATGCAATTAAAAGTTCTGTACACAGGTTGTTGGATCAAAAAGAAAAACATCTGTTCACCATTCTCTCATTATTCTTAGCTTAACACTTTAAATATATAGGAAAAAGCGGAAGTGGGCAAGAAATTGTTAAAAATAATCTCGAGCAGTTCAGAACCCAAAGAGATACTGTAAATACTTCTCTGGCACTAATTTATGATTAATTAAAACCAATTACATTTCCAACTATAGCTTGGAACAGAGTTTCAGGAACCCATATCAACCCTTGGTAAAAAATCAACTTTCCATATTTTTTCATAACTTTTATGAATCTGTGAATCACAATGAAAATGTTTTGAGCCTGATGAAAATGCACCATTATTTATTCTCTGATTATATCATCTTTTTAAAATTCTCATTTAGCAAACCTCTCTTATCTATTTTCCCTTAAATCAAAGACCGTGAAGCAATGCCCATTGTCGTTTGATGTCCAATGACATTTTGCTTTATTTTGATAGCTAATGTATGAAGTTCTGTATTACCAGTAAGCACACAGTACTATCCTACCATCTGTCATCTGAAATATGACTGAAAATAAGCCAATTTCTCTTCCCAGTTCAGGCTTAGGCAAAGTTTTCATTTTTTTGTTTGTTGTTAAATGGCCGATTAGTACAATTTATTCTGAAACACTGGCTTTAATCAGTATCTTTTAGTCTCCCCCTCCCCACACACACACCTGAGATTAAATCCCTGTCTTCCCTAGATACTAGTCAAGGAGCTGTCATAACTAAAAATATATAGAACAAAATTACACTGAGTGAGATGTGATAAATTCTAATGTATACTAAGTAAACTACCTCTGAAAACTTAACTCCTAGGCAAGCCAGAAGAAATAAACCAAATATATGTGCAAACATATGTTTTAGGTAACAGTATAAATGCAGTCATTTTATTTAATCAAAGTAGATTCCATTTTTAAGGTACATAGTATTTAATCAATACATTCTTATTACAATATGTTCTCTAGGGGAAGCAAAAAACCTACAGTTTTTGCTTAAGAAGGGCACTAAGTTAAAAGTAGGGAAATGGGATATTAAATAACAATTCATAAAAATGTAACAATCTGAATTCCCACAAGAGCAGGATTGTGAGCATTTGTAAATCAATTTTCTCCCTGTACTCAAGGATCCACCTTTGTCACTGCCTACCCCCATTTTAATATGCAGATCACGGGGACACTTATCATTTGATCTGCATCTAATATCTCAAAGAGAGAGTCTGTTTCCAATCCTTCTGGAAGAAAATGTTAAAAGATAGTGGTTTCCTAAACCCTTTCATGACAAGATAACACCTAATCATTCAGGGTCTGATAATATCAAGGGCTTGTTTTACAATCAGAGAATATGATTTGGACCCCAAGACCTTGACTTACTAAATAATGACAGCGGTGTAGGAAACACGACTTCAGGGTACATTATGACCTGCTTATTCTAATATATAAGTGGCTGTGAGATTTTATTCATATCTTCCTTATTCCGAAAATCTAGCCCTCTATTTTAATTAACAACACTCTAGGAACCAATCAGATTATTAGATTGAATTGTCCTTTATTTAACTCCTATAGTTGAATATTCAGTGGAGAATAACTCATTTTCTAACTGAGATAGAACAAAATAACACAAGAAGCCCCTCAAGTAGCTAGTCTCCCCAACCCACACTTACAACCCACGGGACTCATTCACTTGAAAACTGGACTGAGTTCTGTTTTGTCTTCAAGAAACATTTTAAC